CCATTCATTGCCGGCGGTAAAACTGACGAAGTAAAATTGCATTCAACAATGGCCTCGTCCTAGCATTCCGTTTTACGAGGTCCTCACGCCTCGCTCCTCTCCATTCACCCATTTCCTTCTCTTCTTTCTTTCTCTCTTTTTTTCCGCCTTTCGTCTCTTATTCTTTCTTTCTTTTCGTCTTTCGTCTCTTATTCTTATTCTTTTCTTTCTCTTTTTTTTTCTTTCTCTTTCTTTTCTCTCTCTTCTTTTTCGTCTTTCGTCTCTTCTTCTTCTTTATTTTCTCTCTCTTTGTTTTCGTCTTTCGTCTCCTATTCTTCTTTCTTTTCTCTTTGTTTTCGTCTTTCGTCTCTTCGTCTTCTTTCTTCTCTCTTTTTTTTCGTCTTTAGCCTCTTCTTCTTCTTTCTTTTCTCTCTTTTGTTTTCGTCTTTCGTCTCTTATTCTTCTTTCTTTTCTTTCTCTTTTTTTCGTCTTTCGTCTCTTATTCTTCTTTCTTTTCTCTCTTTTTTCGTCTTTCGTCTCTTATTCTTCTTTCTTTTCTCTCTTTTTTCGTCTTTCGTCTCTTATTCTTCTTTCTTTCTCTCTTTTAATAATGATGATAATAAAAACAATTATAATAATGATGAAATTAACAATGATAATAATGATGATAACAACAACAACGATGATAATGACAATATGTGACAACAACAAACAAACAAACACAGACACAGCCCCAACCACCTCTCGCAAACAAACACAAACCCGGGAGCCCACACACGCCCCCCCATCGCGCTTGAGACCGACAGTCAAATATCGCCCTTATTTCCCAGAAGGTAAAACTTGGTCGCGTTTGCCAATAGCCCGCTATCGCGTCGCCGGCTAACAAACTGCTCACTTTAAGATCTTGTGCTCTAGACGGCCTCTCCTTGTGGCGCTGCGGCCGAGGTCTTTTGCCTCGTCGCGCCGATGGGGCTCATTTCCCCGGCGGCTGCGGAGGCCTTTCGATAAGATGTGTGTGTGTGTGTATGTATATGTATATATATATATATATATATATATATATATATATATATATATATATATATATTGTAGGGGGGGGTTAGTATGATTGTTTGGTTTTGTATGTTTTTTATGTGTATGTACGTGTGTATGTGAATGTGTGATGTATTTGTATATGTATGCATAGGTACGTGCATATACATACCTCTCTCTCTCTCTCTCTCTCTCTTTCTCTGTCTGTCTGGATGTCTATCTCTCCCTTCTCCCTCTCCTTCCCTTCCCCTTTCCCCTTCCCCCATCCACTTCCTCTGACCTACCCTCTTCCCCTTGTTTCCCTTCCCTTCTTCCCCCTCCCCTTTTCCTCCCCTCAGTGTTCTTTCTCTTCAACCCTTTCCCAATTTCCTTTTCTCCCCCATTAACTTCTCCCCTTCTCCCTCTTCATCCCAGTTTCCTTCTCCATCTTCCCTTCCCCTCCTCCCCCCCTCTTCACTCTCCTCTTTCTTCTCCCCCAATCCTCCATCCTCCTCTACCCCTTTTTCCCCCACCCCCCCCATTCTCAACCCCCTACCCTCCCCCTTTCCTCCCACCTTTTCCAAAAACTTTTCCCCTGCTACCCCTACCAAATTTCCCTCCACCCTGCTTCCCTCCCTCCCCCCCCCACCACCAAATTTCCCTCCACCCTGCCTCGTTCCCTCCTACCCTCCACCACCAAATTTCCCTCCACCCTACCTCCCTCCCCCCACACCACCAAATTTCCCTCCACCCTACCTCCTTCCCTCCTCTCCCCCACCCACCCACCACCAAATTCCCCCCTCCCCCCCCCACACCCCCCCCCCCCTTTTCCCTGAGTCAACCGGATAGATTCATTTTCGTGGTCGGGCCCAAGTTTACGGCTTATCGCGAGCGCTGCGAATTTATTGGCCCTCTGGAAGTATTTTTAGTGGGTAGTCCCTCCGTATGGCTTGAGCTATGGATACATTGCTACCATAAAAGTTGTGTTGTTGTTGTTTTTTTTTTGTTTCGGTTTCTCTCTTTTTCATATTTTTTTTGTCTACTTTTTTGTGCATTTGCTTCTTTATTCTTGTTTTTTTTTTTTTTTTTTTTTTTTTTTTTTTTTTTTTTTCTCTCTCTCTCTCTCTATTTTTGAGGATTTTGGTGTGTGTGTGTGTGTGAAGGAAAAGGGGGTTGGGGGATGATGAGTGGTTTTGGACAGGGAGAATAAGCATGGGTACTAGGAAGGTGAGGAGGCGAGGGGGTTCTCTCTCTCTCTGTCTCGCTCTCTCTCTCTCTATATATATATATGTGTGTGTGTGTGTGTGTTTTATACACACACACACACACACACACAGACACACACAGATATATATATATATATATATATATATATATATATATATATATATGTATATATATATATATATATATATATATATACAATGTATATGTGTGTATAACTGAATAAATAGGTAGGTAAATAGACTAATAAACACATACATATATACATACATACATACATACAAAGATACATACATGCATATATACATATATACATACACATATTCAGATATATACATACATACATACATACATACATACATACATACATACATACATACATACATACATACATACATACATTCATTCATACATACATACATACATACATACATTCATACATACATACATACATACATACATACATACATACATACATACATACATACATACATACATACATACACATATTCAGATATATACATACATACATACATACATACATACATACATACATACATACATACACATATTCAGATATATACATACATACATACATACATACACATATTCAGATATATACATACATACATACATACATACATACATACATACACATATTCAGATATATACATACATACATACATACATACATACACATATTCAGATATATACATACATACATACATACATACATACATACATACACATATTCAGATATATACATACATACATACATACATACACATATTCAGATATATACATACATACATACACATATTCAGATATATACATACATACATACACATATTCAGATATATACATACATACATACATACATACACATATTCAGATATATACATACATACATACACATACATATACATGACTATATATAAATTCATATACATATATGTATATTTATACATATATATGTATGTATATTTATACATATATATATATATACACACACGTGTACGTATATCTATCTATCTACCTATCTATCTATCTATCTATCTATCTATCTACCTATCTATCTACCTATCTACCATTTCTACCTATCTATCTACCTATCTACCATTTCTACCTATCTATCTACCTATCTACCATTTCTACCTATCTATCTATCTATCTATGTATATCACATTCTTCACTGTCGTCGACGTCCCAAAAATCCCTTGTACCTGCGACCTGTCCCGTGAGTCATCGCCTCCACCTCCTGTCATCATACTCGTTCACTTCAGTCGCAGCTGTTTTGGAATTGTGATTTACGTTTTGACATTTATTTGCCTTCGTTCGCTCTTTCTAATATAGCTTTACATGTACTTGAAGTTACTGCTTTTTTCTTTGAGTTTCTTATTCGTTTATTGCATGTTGTATATTTCGTTGGGTTGGGAATATGCGTTTCGAAATTTATTTTCTGTGGTGAATCCGGTGTTTTATTTAGGTGTAATTTTTGTTTATAGATTCGTTTTTTTTTCTGATGTATTCAGTTATCTCATTTCCCGCTTTCCTTTCTGTTCCATTTCTTCGTCAATTTGGGTTCGTTTGGTTTCTATCTCCTCCTTCCCTCTCCCTCTTTCCTCAGTCTCTAGCTCTAATTCTCTCTCTCTCTCTCTCTTTGTCTCTCTGCCTCTCTGTCTCTCTGTCTCTCTCTCTCCCTCCCTCTCTCTCTCTGTCTCTCTGTCTCTCTCCTCTCTCTCTCTCTCTCTCTCCTCTCTCTCTCTCTCTCTGTCTCTGTCTCTCTCTCTCCTCTCTCTCTCTCCTCTCTCTCTCTCTCTCTCTCTCTCTCTCTCTCTCTCCCTCTCTCTTCCCATTACTATTACACTTACTATCTCTTTCTTTTCGTTCTTATCCGCCTTCTCCCTTTGCCACATTCTCCTCCACCCTGTCACTGCTCTGCTTTCTCTTCCTTCGCTCTGTCAATTTTTTTTCCCTTTCGTTCCCTATCTCACTTTTTTTCCTCTTCTCATTTCTTTCCCTCCTGTCGTCTCTCCACCTCCTCTATCTTTTCTCTTTCCTAATTTCTCTTTTCTCCTCTCTTCCCCTCCCCCTCCACCTCCTCCTCCTCTTCCCTATCCTCTTCTTCCTCCTCCTCCTCTTCCTCCTCCTCCTCCTCCTCTTCCCTATCCTCTTCTTCCGCTCGTTTCCTTCACTTCTTCCTCGTCCCATTTCCTTCCATTCTTTCTTTTCTCCCCCACCTTCCTCACTTCTATCTCCTCCCCTTTCCTATTCTTTTCCTCCTCTTCCCTCACTTCTTCCTTTTTCCCTTTCCTACCCTTTTTCCCACCTGTTTCCCTTCCCTACTCTATCCCTCTTCCTCCCCCACTTCCTCCCCATCTTCCTCCTCCTCTTCCCTATCCTCTTCTTCCTCCTCCCATTCCGTTTTTCTTTCCCCTCTTACCCCTCCCTTCTCCTCCCGCACCTTCAGATCCCCTTCTCTTCCTCCTCCTCCATCCTCCTCCTCCCCCTCCTCCTCCGCATCCCCATCCTCCTCCTCCTCCCCCCTCATCCCCCTCCTCCTCCTCTTCCTCCTCTTCCTCCTCCCCCTCCACCTCCTCCTCCTCTTCCTCCTCCTCCTCTTCCTCCTCCTCCTCCTCCTCCTCCTCCTCCTCCTCCCATCCTCCTCCTCCTCCTTCCCCTCCTCCTCCCCATCCCCCTCCTCCTCCTCCCGACGCTTGTATAATAACGGCCGTTGGCGGCGGGTGCCATAACCCTCGACGTGTGGCACCGAGGCACGAGGAGTGATGGCCCCCCAGGAGGCAGCCGCCGGCAATACTGTCATCTCGACCCCGGTAAGTGCCCCCGCGACGACCAGAAAATTCCCAGTAAATCAGCGGAAATGTCACCCCAGCGCACTACCTTGTTTTGGAAGAGCAGTGGCCTCTCTCTCTCAACTTTCTCGTCGCTTGCTGGATTAAGATAGTGAGGCCGTATGTTTATGGGGTCTCGGGGAGCTGTGAAGGTTTATGTAAAACGCCCTAAGTTTCTGGCCCTCCTCTGCTTCTTTTCCTTCGCCTACTTCTCTCCCTTTTTTTTATTCCTTTTCTTCTTCTTTTTATACTTATTGTTATTTTTTGCTTCTTTATTTTCTTCCTTTTCTTTTTCTTCTTTTTCTTCCTCTTTTTCTTCTTTTTCCTCTTCTTTTTTCTTCTACCTCTTCTTTTCCTTCTTCTTCTCTTCTTCTTCTTCTTCTTCTTCTTCTTCTTCTTCTTCTTCTTCTTCTCCACCATCACCTCCTCCTGCACCACCACCACCACCTCCTCCCAGTCCTTCTTCCTCCTCCTCCTCCTTCCTCCTCTCCTCCCCCTCCTGTCCTTTCTACCCCTCCACCTCCTCCTCCTCCCCCTCCCCCTCTTCCTCCTCTCTGTCTCCTCTATTTGTTCCCCGATTTTTTCTCTTTCCTTTCCCCATCTCATTTTTCCTCTTTTCATTTCTCTCCTTCTTGTCTTCTCTCCACCTCCTCTATCTTTCCTCTTTCCTCACTTCTCCTTTTTCCTCTCTTCTCCTCCCTCACCTCACTTCTTCTCTTTCCTCCCCATTCCTCCTCCTCTCTCCTCTTCCTCCTCCTCCTCCTCCCTTCTTTCCACTCACCCTTCACTTCTTCCTCGTCCCCTTTCCTTCCATTTCTTTCTTTTTCTCCCCCACCTTCCTCGCTTCTATCTCCTCCCCTTTCCTATTCTTTTCCTCCTCTTCCCTCACTTCTTCCTTTTTCCCTTTCCTACCCTTTTTCCCACCTGCTTCCTTTCCCTACCCTATCCCTCTTCCTCCCCCACTTCCTCCATCTTCCTCCTCCTCTTCCCTATCCTCTTCTTCCTCCTCCCATTCCGTTCTTCTTTCCCCTCTTACCCCTCCCTTCTCCCGCACCTTCAGATCCCCTCTCTTCCTCCTCCTCCCCCCTCCTCTCCCTCCTCCTCCTCCTCCCCCATCCTCCTCCCCATCCTCCTCCTCCTCCTCTTCCTCCTCCTCCCCCTCCTCTTCCTCCTCCACCTCCTCCTCCTCCTCCCCCATCCCCCCCTCCTCCTCCTCCTCCTCCCCTCCACCTCCCCATCCTCCTCCTCCTCCCCCATCCTCCTCCCCTTCCTCATCATCCTCCCTCTATTCCTCCTCCTCCCCCTCCTCTTCCTCCTCCCCATCCTCCTCCTACTCCTCTTCCTCCTCCTCCTCCCCCTCCCCATCCTCCTCCTCCTCTTCCTCCTCCTCCTCCTCCTCCTCCTTCCCCTCCTCCCCCTCCTCCTCCCCATCCCCCTCCTCCTCCTCCCGACGCTTGTATAATAACGGCCGTTGGCGGCGGGTGCCATAACCCTCGACGTGTGGCACCGAGGCACGAGGAGTGATGGCCCCCCAGGAGGCAGCCGCCGGCAATACTGTCATCTCGACCCCGGTAAGTGCCCCCGCGACGACCAGAAAATTCCCAGTAAATCAGCGGAAATGTCACCCCAGCGCACTACCTTGTTTTGGAAGAGCAGTGGCCTCTCTCTCTCAACTTTCTCGTCGCTTGCTGGATTAAGATAGTGAGGCCGTATGTTTATGGGGTCTCGGGGAGCTGTGAAGGTTTATGTAAAACGCCCTAAGTTTCTGGCCCTCCTCTGCTTCTTTTCCTTCGCCTACTTCTCTCCCTTTTTTTTATTCCTTTTCTTCTTCTTTTTATACTTATTGTTATTTTTTGCTTCTTTATTTTTCTTCCTTTTCTTCTTCTTCTTTGTCTTCTTCTTCTTCTTTTTCTTCTTTTTCCTCTTCTTTTTTCTTCTACCTCTTCTTTTCCTTCTTCTTCTCTTCTTCTTCTTCTTCTTCTTCTTCTTCTTCTTCTTCTTCTCCACCATCACCTCCTCCTGCACCACCACCACCACCTCCTCCCAGTCCTTCTTCTCCTCCTCCTCCTTCCTCCTCTCCTCCCCCTCCTGTCCTTTCTACCCCTCCACCTCCTCCTCCTCCCCCTCCCCTTCTTCCTCCTCTCTCTCTCCTTTCCCTCTCACTCTCACTCACGACCAAGATAAACGAAGCAATGATCGACACAATACGAACAGATTCAACTCCGAGAGGAATGTCGTCCGTCAGTTAACTGCTTTACCAAGAGTTCTTCCATCAAGTTTTTTTTTTTCCCTCAAACTTGCTGAATCTTGTATCTATAGCCCTCCTCAAGATTGCTACCGGCCAAAGTAAAACAAGATGTCTTGGGTAGATATTGCTCGCCAAAATCCGTCCCCGGGGTGACTGTGTAAGGTCAGTTTGGATTCGATGAGATGGGACAGAGAGAGAAATTATGATAAGAAGGGAGAGAGGAGAGAGAAGGAGAGAGAGAGAGAGAGAGAGAGAGAGAGAGAGAGAGAGAGAGAGAGAGAGAGAGAGAGAGAGAGAGAGAGAGAGAAAGAGAGAGAAAGAGAGACAGACAGAGAGAGAGAGAGAGAGAGAGAGAGAGAGAGAGAGAGAGAGAGAGAGACAGACAGACAGACAGACAGACAGACAAACAGACAGACAGTCCAGAAACACAGAGACAGTTAAACAGAGAGAGAGCGAGAAAGAAACCTCAGTAAAAGGAATCCAATGATAAGCTGAACGAGGAAGACAAAAAGGAGGAGGAGGAGGAGGAGGAGGAGAAGGAGAAGGAGAAAGGGAGAGAGTTTCACGACATTGCCGTTGAAGGGAGTTTGGTGTTGTAAACGCTGAGGGCCCCAGTGGGACTCTTCCTTCTGCCGTGACACACACACACAAGACCTCTGTTGGAAGGGCGTCGGGGAGAGAAGAGGAAGAGGAGGAGAAGGGAGGAGAGCAGGAGGAGGAAGAGGAGGATGGAGCAGGAGGAGGAAGAGGAGGAGAAGGAAGGAGAGGAGGATAAGGAAGGAGAGCAGGAGAAGGAAGAGTAAGGAGAAGGATGGAGAGCAGAAGGAGGAAGAGGAGGAGAAGGAATGGGAGTAATAGTAGGAGGGGGAAGAAGGAGGGGAGAAGGAGGAATCGAGGGATAATTATTGAGAATAGGAAGAGGAAAAGGGAGAAGGACCTCTATTGGAAGGGCGTCGTGGAGAGAAGAGGTAATGGGGAGAGGAGGAGGAAGAAAAAGAGGAGAGGGAAGGAGAAGAAGACGAGAGGAGAGAGGAGGAGATGGAAAAGGAGGAGGGGGAGGTAGACGTAGAAGAGGATAGGGAGAAAGAATGAAAGTAGGAGGAAAAGGATGAGGAGAGGAGGAGGAAGAAGCGGAAGAGGAAGAGGGGAGAAAGAGGAAAAAATAGGGAGAGTGGGTGGAGGCAGAGGAGTAAAAGGAGGAGGAAGAGACAGAGAGTAGATGAGAAGTAGATTGTGAAGTAGAAAGAGGAAGAGGAGGTAAAAAAAAAAAAAAAAAAAAAAAAACGAAAAATACGAGAGGGAATAGGAAGAAGGAGAGAATGAAGACGAGAAAAATGAAAGATAGAATAAAAGAAACATGAGAGATGGAAACTATAAGGAACAAGAATCTATCGAGGAAGAAAAAAAGAGAGACGAATAAGTAAAGAGAAGAAGTGAGAGAAGAGGCCATAGAGAAAATGTGGAAGAAAGGGACACTAAAGACAAAGGAAAAAGAAGAGGAGGAGGAGGAGGAAGAGCGAGAGGCCACTGGATAAGAAGACAGCAAAGAGGATCCTAAAGTCTAAGAGAAAGATGAATATCTGAGGTAAAAAACTGAAACTGTGGGTGCACGTGTGTTTGTGTGTAGAAAAAAAAGCGAAAAGTGTGTTTAATGATATACTACATGTATCATTACACACATTTCCCCCCCTTCTCTCTCTTTCCTCCCTTTCTCCTCATTTTCTCTGAGACAATTTACTGATCCTCCCTCCCTCCCTTCCCCCCTCCCCTCCTTTCCCCCTCCCAATCCACAAATCTACACATCCATCCATTTACTCACATCAAACTTCCAGGGAAAAAAAAATCACGCAAATAACACAGTAATACATTGCAATCACCATTCAGCTATGGGTTCATTACTAACGGCTGAAATCACATAGATCAGGTAGTTTGGGTCTTGCCTGTGGTTCAACCAATTAGGAAAGTATATCCTTAGATGATGGATATTTCCTGTCTGCATTACTCCCCGAAAGAGGAAGAGGAGGAGAGGGAGAAGGAGGAGGACGGGGGATAGGAGGAGGAGAAGGAAGAGGAGGGGGAGGAGTAGGAGGAAGAGGAGGAGGAGTAGGAGGAGGAGGAGAAGGAAGAGGAAGAGGAAGAGGATGAGGATGAGGAGGAAGAGGAGGAGAATAAGCATAAGAGGGGGTTAGAAAAAGAGGGAGGAATAAGAGGAAGAAAAAAGATTTTTATTATTCTTTCTTTTTGTCTCTATCACCATTCACATTCAGTTCTGACTTACGCCTGGGAAATGTCTCGTAAAGCTATTCCCAGGAGCTTCAGAAACCAAGAGAACAGCCTCTGAAGGGTACGATAGGGGGTCCGTCATTACCCCTCCCCCCTTCCCCCCTCCCCCCCAACACTCACTTGAATTCTACCTTCTATCCTTTGCCTTGTCCCCTCACCCTGTTCCTTATATCTGTCCTCATCCTCTCCTTTCATCTCTATTCCCCATTTTCATGTCGATGTCCCAGTTCCCAGTCTCCTTCCTTATCAATATTTCCTATCCCTATTTCTATCCTAGTGGCTATCTATCCCCGAACCTTCCAGTGTCTTCCCACTCATCCATCAGCTTCTCCCCCTCCCTTTCTCCATCCCCAATGAGCATCGGCCTCCCCACACTCACTCCCCCTCCTTGATTTTCCCCCATCCCCTATCCCCTATCCCCTTCGCTTTCTTTGTCCCCTATTTCATTCCAAGTTCAAGTTTCACAAGTTTATTTACCAGTGAGAGAAATACATAATCCTTAGTCCTTTTCACTATCCTATCCCCACGCCCACCCCTATCCCCATATCTCTCCCCATCTCCCGTCCCCTTCCCTTACCCCGTTCCAACCACCACCTCCCCCCTTATCCCTATGCCCCTCTCCCCTCACCTTTCCCCCATCCCCACCTTTATACCTATCCCTATGCCCCTCTCTCCCTCCCACTCCCACCTCCCCTTCCCCCTCCCACCTCCCCCCTCTCACCTCCCCACCTCCCACCTCCCCTTCCACCTCCCCATCTCACCTTCCCCCTCCCACCTCTCACCTCCCCCCACTCACCTCCTCCCTCCCCTCCCCCTCTCCCCTTTCCTACTTCCCCCCTCCTCACCTCCCCCCTTCCCCCTTCCCCCTCCTCACCCCTCCCCCTCCCCTACTCACCTCCCCCCTTCTCCCCCCTCCTTCCCCCTCTCACCTCCCTCTGTTCAAACAAAGCGGTCCCCTCTGGCCGGCGCTACAGTAATCTCCTTCTTAGATCACTCATTAAACCCCAACTTAATGTACATGATAATCGCTAGTGGCGCTTTCGTTTATGTCATTTGCGTGCAGACCGTGTGTCGTAAAGCAACGGGGGGAAGGGGGGGGGGGTGGAGGTATGGTGGTAAAGCATGGGTTATGGGGAGGGAGGGAGGGAGAGGGGGGAGGAGGAGGGGAGCGGTTGGGGATGTGAGGGGGGAAGGGGGATGGGGTAGATAATGGGGGGGGGGCGAGTCAGGGGAGGTGATGAGGGGGTAGGAGGGGGGGTGGGGGAAGTGGGGTGTATGGTAATAAAGCATGGATGACGGGGGGGGGGGGAGAAACGGGAGGGGGGCGGTCAGGGGAGGAAAAAGGGGGAAGGTAAAACATGAGTGGGGGGTTAGAAGAGGGGGGAGAAGCATGAATGGGGGTTAGGAGTGGGGGAGGTGGGGGGGGGGAGTCAAGGGAAGTGGGACATATGATGATAAAGCATGAATAGAGGGTTAAAAGAGAAGTAGGGAGGGGGGTCAAAGAAGATAATGGGGGGTGGGGGGGGGAGAGGTATTAAAGCACGGAAGGAGGTCAGAACGGGGGGGGGGAGGGTTAGGGGTCAGGGGTGTAGCATGGAGTGTGGGGAGGGGGGTGGGGGTGGGGGGGTTATTACTCGTCCTCTATTTCTTGCTACTTCTCTCTTCTTCTCTCTGATTTATTACTGTTTTTTTCTTTCTCTTATCTTATCCCTCTTTGGTTGAGTCATGCACGCGGCTGTATGGCAGTGAAATCGAGCAAAAGCAGAGATCACGTACAAGCACACTGCCTATCTGTGCATCTATTTTCCTATTTGTTTATCTATCTATCTCTCTATATGTCTGTCTGCCTGTCTATCCATCTCTCTATATGTCTGGCTATCTATCCATCTCTCTTTATGTCTGTCTGTCTATCTGCCTGTTTGTTTGTCTGTATATCTATCCATCCATCTATCGCTTCTTATGTCTACCTATTTGTCTGTCTATATATTCACCTGTAACTCAGTTAATCAGTCAGTCAATCATTATATCTATCTATATTTGTTTGTTTGTATTTGTGTGTGTGCGTGTGCGTGTGCTTGTGTGCGTGTGCTTGTGTGTGTGCGTGTTTGGGTGTGTTTGTGTTTGTGTGTGTGTGTGTGTGTGTGTTTGTGTTTGTGTGTGTGTGTGTGTGTGTGTGTGTGTGTGTGTGTGTGTGTGTGTGTGTGTGTGTGTGCTTGTGTGCGTGTGCTTGTGTGCGTGTGCTTGTGTGCGTGTGCTTGTGTGCGTGTGCTTGTGTGCGTGTGCTTGTGTGCGTGTGCTTGTGTGCGTGTGCTTGTGTGCGTGTGCTTGTGTGCGTGTGCTTGTGTGCGTGTGCTTGTGTGCGTGTGCTTGTGTGCGTGTGCTTGTGTGCGTGTGCTTGTGTGCGTGTGCTTGTGTGCGTGTGCTTGTGTGCGTGTGCTTGTGTGCGTGTGCTTGTGTGCGTGTGCTTGTGTGCGTGTGCTTGTGTGCGTGTGCTTGTGTGCGTGTGCTTGTGTGCGTGTGCTTGTGTGCGTGTGCTTGTGTGCGTGTGCTTGTGTGCGTGTGCTTGTGTGCGTGTGCTTGTGTGCGTGTGCTTGTGTGCGTGTGCTTGTGTGCGTGTGCTTGTGTGCGTGTGCTTGTGTGCGTGTGCTTGTGCGTGTGCTTGTGTGTGTGCTTGTGTGTGTGTGCTTGTGCGTGTGCTTGTGTGCGTGTGTGTGTGTGTGTGTATGGTAGTGTGTAGGTGTGTGTTGTGTGTTATGTGTATGTGTATGTGTATGTGTGTATGTGTATGTGTGTATGTGTATGTGTGTGTGTATGTGTGTATGTGTGATTGTGCGCGCACGTGTATGTGTATATGTATAATTGTGTGTGTGTATGTGTGATTGTGCGCGCACGTGTATGTGTAT